CCCCCTCCACGCTGTGGCCGATCTGACAACAGCTAAAAAGAGATGGACTCCACATAACGGCAGCTTGGCTCTTCTCATGACACTTTCCTGAAAGAGAAAAATGCAGAAGGGAGATCGTGTCAGCCTCCTGTCTTTGCATTTCTGTCTTGGGAAAGTGTTTTGAGCAGAGACAAGCTGCCATATGAGAAGTCTATCTCCTTCGAACGGTTGTCAGATTGAACACAGAAGGGAGGGGATAAAAGAGTAAAAAAAAAAAAAAAAATTGTAATAATTTTTTATCTATCCCTTGCAATGGGTGAGTTCTTCTGCAAGCATATTCTTTTTATTTTCCCCATTATTCAACTTTAAGTAAAATACATGTATGATGTATCATGTAAAGTACCAAGAATTACATATGCCTGTACAATCATGTGACGCACCGGGCACACATCAGTTTCTTCTTTCAGTTTTCTTTCATCAGAATAGTAAAGATTTTCATGTTTTTACCACTCAATCTATCCTTAGTGATTGTTACTTCCCTTCCCCCTCCCCCAAAATACAAAAACCAGACAGGTAATGTAAAATCTTTTATTTACTGTATTTGTACAAGGTAGAACAGAAAAGATAAATAACTCACAACAATGAATGTACAAAACCTGTTAAGTGCTCATACATAATGCAGTCTGGGATGATGCGGGCAGCCGGAAGCAGGCAGTAAGTGGATATCAGAGTGGGTAGGTGTACTACAGGAAATAGACTAACTACAGGGGGACAATCTGCCAGAAGACAGGCAGTGAGAAAAGTGACCAGTAAAGGCCTGATAATACCAAGAATGCAGGAAATATGTCATTGCAGAACTAGGAAATATTTTTCTGACGGATATTCTGCTTGTTCTGAAGGGGGCACATCATCAGTTTCATCAGATGTACATTTTTTATAATTCCTAAGGCATATAAGAAAAGAGAAATTCCTCAGTAATGGCTTTATCACTGACCACCAGGCAGGGTGCTCTGTGCTCCCTTCCAATTATCCCTTTGCTGAAGAGGAAATCTGGAGCTGTGGTTGTATTCATTTTTTGGAAATCCCATCTGATCCCCATCCCATGTAGTAACATGAAGAGTGCTCCTACCATCAGCCACCGAGATCTGAAACTACAGACTCTACCTGCGTTCCCACCTACTGCTGAAATCTGATATTGGGCCCCTTTCACTCACATGGGTGGATAGAATTCAGCTTTAGATGAAGCAATCTACTGTAGCTAAACTCAGACAATGCATTCCTAGAGCCCCATTCACACACTGCGTTTTGTGACAATTACATTATATGCAGTTTAGAAAAAAAAAAAGCTGACTGCGTGCGTCCAGGACCGATGTATCACAGCTATCTGTGCACTGCGATTACCTGCGGTTATGTACAATTTCACCTGCGGATAGCAACAGCAAGAAATGAAGCAAAAACAACAGGAAGGATCAGAATCGCAAGGGATACCTGGGAATGACCCAGGAAGTTGCAGGGAGGGTACAAATAGAGAGAGGAGTGACGGTGACCCATGATATAGCTCTCAGTCTCCTCATTTTCACCCTCATAAGCATATGGGAATAGCAATCAAACTGCTTCTGTAATCCATTTTCAATGAGTACATGTCAACAAAGGTGAAAGATCTCTAAATGAACAAAGAAACAGGCACTGAACAAGGACAAATGAAATGGGAGGGCACAAAAGCATTATGGGTAGTCAGGGGATCAAAAAAAAAACAAAACAAAAAAAAACCAAAACACACAGTTGCTATAGAAATGACAAGAATGTACCACCGCAGCTAACCGCACGTAATCACAGGTAACTGCAATGTACAGCCGCAGGTATTCGTTGTACCTGGAGTCTTGGAATTTCAAAACAAAATATGCTTTTTACCTGCGGCAAAACAGCCGCCCGTGTGAAAGGGGCTCTAGAGTGCAACTTTGAAGCAACCTATGACTACATTATGAAAACACTAACCACCCCCTCTATGATGATGACTGGACAAAATTACCTTGGGAGAGAGAAAAAAAAAAAAAAAAAAAAAAAAAAAGTTACTGGACAGAGGAAGTGACCATTCACACACATGGCAAAATCTGTACCATCCAGGCTATGAGGAATTCTTGCAAATTAAAACAGATTATGGCTAGGGTTAACTGACCACAGTTCTATGCAATACTACTCCACATGCCAATATATTCTGCATGGTTTTGGGTAGAAGGAGAACTTCCTGACTATGTATTGTATAGACTATCAATACTAAGCCATGTGAACACTGTCTAATTGTGATCACCATTTTTTGTACATCCTTGCTACATTTTAGAAGTAAAATATAATCACTATATAAAAAAAACTATGGGAGAAAATATGGGAGTCATGGCATGACTATGGACAAAAAATATAACCCGGAAAAAAAAAAAAAAAACCCTAACTTGGCCAATAATCAACTTTAATACACTGCAATCTGATAATCACTGACAAGGTGGTTATAAATAAGAACCTTTTCTAAAAGGAACACCTTATGCCAGAATGCCGCCATGCCTTTCTTATCAGAAATAAGAGCTTTAGCAGAGAATTGCAGCCTATGATCAGGAATTGTCTCCAAAGAGATGAGACACAGGATGTGCAATTCAGTGTTAAAATACTTGGGGCAAGTAAAAATATCCGGAAGACTGAACCCAGAAATCATATTCTATGTCGTCATATGAGAATTACAAGTTATTACGGTCTACTGATATGCTTTTCAAACATGTCACATTTGTTTTTCTTTACTTGTTTGTTTTTCTGCAATTTCTGTAATTTTTCGCCATTTCACAGGTGTATGCGTGTGTGCAAATATTGTGCAACATATACAGTTACAACTGCCATCTTTTTTCTCCAGGGCCAGTTCTTAAAAGTAAAAAAAAAAAAAAAAAAAAAAAAAAAAATGATATGTTCTGGGGCTTATAAGCAATTTCATAGCCAAAAAAAATGCAGATTTTAACATATGTGAAAAAATTGCTTTAAAAGGGGAACTGGTTAAGAATGAATTTATATCAACTTAAATTTGAACAACCACAAACTCTACCTAATTAAAAAGGTATATAAAAACACATATTTGTTTGTATATTTTCATGCATTATTTTTTAATTAGATCAGCAGTTTAGAGGCATCACCATCATTCAAAATCAAAAATTGCACTTATCAGTAAACCTCTATTGTTTGAGTCCACTAGGACAGCTCTATCTTGGGATTGCATAATAGGGGGCCGAAAATTAATATGGAGGGAATCGATTTGCAAGGGGGCTGTCTTAAAGTGGTTATTAAAGGAGAGTTTTTTTTTTTTCTTTAAAATAACAAACATCTCATACTTACCTGCTCTGTGCAGCCCTGATTCTCCTCTTCTCAAGTCCCCTGCCGGTGCTTCTGGCTCATCTCCCCTGCTGAGTGCCCCCAGAGGAAGCCACTTGCTTTGGGGGCACTCATGTGTGAACACTCCCGAGCCACCTCTGTGTGTCCCATAGACAGTCAGAACCCCCTCCCCCCCGCTCCCTCCCTTTGTACTGGCTGTGACTGAAAGCAGAGGGAGCCAGTGGCACATTTGCGGTGTCTCAGCCAATGAGGAGAGAGAGACCAGGGAGAGCCTTGGCCCTTGTGGTGCACATCGCTGGATTGGATGGGTATGCTGTCTCGTCATGCACCAGTGACATCACTGGCTGCTGCTCAACTACCACTTAAATGTATTAAGGTAAAAAAAACTTTCTGTGGGCAGCTACCCCCAAGCCCTCCCTTATACCCGATCTCAATCCAGCACTGTGCCTGACAGCAATGGCTCTCTCTCCTCACTGGCCATAGAAGCAGCAGCAGTGTCACTGGCTCCTGTTGCTGTCAATCACAGTCTATGAGGAGAGAGTGGGGGGGTGGGGCTGAGTCCGCATGAGTTCCCCCCATTGAAAGCAGCTTGATTTGGCAGCACTGGGGATGGGGGGGGGGCGGGTGACCCGGAAAGAGGAGGATTGAGGCTGCTCTGTACTAAATGATTGAACAGAGCAGGTACATATACAACATCAGTTATTTAAAAAAAAAAATCCCTTTACAATCACTTTAACTAAAGCATTAAGACGCAGCGAGGAGATAATACACATCATACTTAAATACATTAAGGACAATCTAGCATTAATCTATTAAAAATTACAGTATGGCTAAATTTGTATGCTGCCTGGTACATTATAATTATCCTAACACTAAATCATAGAAGCTGAAATTGTCTGGTAGGATTGGAGCCTCTGAACTCTGGACCATCTGACAGATGGGACAATCTCAAGAAATTGTTGTTATAAAAAATCAAAGAGGGAACTATGCTTTGTCTTTGCATATAAAGTGAGGCCCTCTATCCTCAAAAGCCAATATTGGGTTCAATTTTTACAACAATTTCACAAAATGAGAGTGGACCAAGAGAAGTTAATGAACTGCATTTGCTATAGGACTGCTAAATGCAGCCCCCACCAGCGCACTGTATCTCAGCTGCCATGATCCTAACACATTGTTCTAGTCCAGGAAAACTGCTTCTTCCGCTATGCATTGGTGACAACTCCACTTAAACAAGTCGGGTAGGGGGCAGGGCTCATCTCAAGAGAGGTTTCTCAAAAAATAAGTCTTTAGCCCCACCAGGGAAAGTAAACCAGTTACTGAATAATTCACAATTTCTGCAATGTATATTGACAGACTAGAAGTGTGAGCTCATTAAGTCATGAAATGTTGTTTGTCTTCCACATGGTCATTAAGTTTTATTGCAACCAAAACATACTTTCCTTTGAACTGTACAGAAATTAAACTATAATATATACACAAACTATTTATCTTTAAGTTACAGGGTATCAGCATACACTTTTTTGGCATTCAGTTTATCAAGGAGTTTTGCATAAACTTCTAGGTTTCTGATAAGCTCAAACTTAATAAATTTGGTGTAAGAACAATAAGTCATCCCAGTTTGCTAAACATAATACCAAACTCGCATCGTTCATTCTTCATTGTTTTCTTTTACGTTCTGACTCCAAGCAAAACTTCTCATAAGCTTCTTCCATCTCGGGGTCCATTTCATCATCATCTAAACCATCAAGGAACCTAGAAAGGAAAAAAAAAACCTTTCACAATCTGCTGCCATCTTGTTTTCAGAATTAAGGGCTCGCTCACATCATACATGCATAAAAACTGTTGGGAAAACCATGCAGATTTCACTTGTAAAGACACGAGATCACATTTGTTGTCATGAGCATCTCAGTCATTGTTTTCATGCGTGTCTTTTTAATGCACAGACTGACATCACATCCTGTGTCCTCACCTTTTCAACAGACCCCCTCATTAATGATCCCCACATCATGGACTCCCTCATCTGTGAGCACCTCACAGCAGAAACGCCTCATCAGTTTCCCCCTAATCAAAGAATCCTCATCACGGTCCCCCGCCATCCGCGACCCCTCACCGCTCCTCCCCCGCCATCCGCGACCCGACAACCCCTCACCGCACCGCCCCCCCCGCCCCGCGACAACCGCCCCCCCCATCCCCCTCACCGCTCACCGCCCCCTGTCCCCGCGACAACCCCTCCATCACCGCTCCAGCCAATTTTATAAAAAGCTTTGAATAGGTTCAAGACCCCCGCCATCCGCGATGTGAAACCCCTCATAAACCGCTCATCTAAGTCACAACAATAGAAGAACCCAGTCCGCCATACACCGCGACAACACCCTCACCGAACCTTTGGACCCCCCCGCCATCCGTGAGTTGCCCCCGCACCGTCATTTTGGACCACCCCCCGCCATCCGTGATCGCTCCCCCGCACCGCCCCCCCGCCATCCGTGACGTTTTCCCCCCTCACCGCTCATGTCCCCCGCCATCCGTGACCCCCTCACCGCTCCCCCGCCATCCGTGACCCCTCACCGCTCCCCCGCCATCCGTGACCCCTCATCTGTCCCCGAGAGCAGTCCCTGCTCAACCAGATGAATTTTGATCCATCTATACCTGACTTTGATATAGCTCCAGCCAATTTTATAAAAAGCTTTGAATAGGTTCAAGACACAAACATTTCTGTAAGTAATAAGAAGTGCTCTCTGACCCCACTAGAGAGATATTCCCCAACTTTTTATCTCTGTGATGCCCCTACATGAGATAGAAGCACGATTGTGACCTGTGCATGAAGGGAAAGATCTCATTTAAAAAAATCGTTTTCTAAGTCCTAAACCATGGTTTTATTTTACATAAATGCTTTTAGTTGTGTCTGTGGCTTTTCCTGACAGGAAGTGAGGGGCCCCATTCATCAAGGCAAAAACTGGGCCACTCTCTTTGTTCACCAAGTCAAAAAGAAAGGGCAAATCTTTCCAAAGTGGAAAAAGAAATTCGGCTTTAAAACAGTCTAATTTCCTGATTACATAGCATAAATACCTACGGTGTATATAAATATCTATATATCCCAAATTCAGAGCTACAAATACTTAGTAAATGTTTGTGCACATTGAGGGAAATTTATTAAAACTGGAGCAGCTCTGCGTGGTAACCAATCAGGTTCTTTCATTGTAAAAGCTTAATTGAACAAGCTGGAGATGAAAGCTGATTATTTGCCATTCACAGCTGCCTCAGATTCTGGTGGCTTTAGTTTTGATAAACACTCTCCATTGTGGTTATACTTAACATGTTACTAAAGTCAAAAAATGTTTTTTTAATTAAAATAACAAGCATGTTATACTCACCTACGCTGTGCAATAGTATTGCACAGAGCAAACCCAAACCTCCTGTTCTTGGGTCCACTGCTGGTGCTCCTGGCTCCTCCTCCTCTGTGTGTGTTCCCATAGTAAGCCGTTTGCTATGGATGCGCACACGCAGTGCCTGCTTGCTCCTGTATGTCTATGGAGCCTCACTCCCCAATTCCTCCTACTTTGATTGACAGCAGCAGGAGTCAATGGCTTCTGCCACTGCTTGAGTGTTGTGTGGAGAGGAAGAGAGCGGAGAATAGATGTAGCTGTGCACAGTGCTGGGTCTCTTCTCCACTCTATTCCCTTTCACAAAAGGAAAAAGGGGGGGGGGTGGAATAATAGAAACATTTTTTTAAGTAATGCAAGGAATGCATTAAGGTAAAAACTGTTTTTAGCTTTAGTATCACTTTAAGGATCCCTGGAAACTAAAACTAAGCAGCAGTAAAAGGTACAACTGCCACTTTTCAGACTTTCCGCCCTGGTTCACACATGCATTTCTGGATGTGTTTTCAAATGAACAGATTCTCGTGACAGGCTAGACATTATGTGTTCCTATTGATGTGATTCACAGGCATTGCATTTCGAGTGCGATTCCAAAAAAGGTCCTGCGTGACTTTGAAGTAGTGCGTTCCAGACTCACAAGTGATAAGAGTATAGCGCCATGTGGAGGTCAGTGTTCACATAGGACTGCTCACGTGATTGACCGGCGATTTGTCACTGAAGTCAATGGAAATGCAGAAGCCAAAATCGCACCTCTGGTGAAATCACACTCAAACTGCAATGCTATTCACACAGATACGCATGCATAAATTACAATGCGACTTCAGCCTGCATATGTGTGAACCCAATCAGCACTGTCCAGACAGAGGTCAGGGGTTTTGCACCCTCCTAGAGCAAAAAGAAAACTCCTACAAGCTGTAACCAGTCCTCTGCTGAAGTCATAAGACTGCTCTAACTGCTGATGAGAAAAGGTATTTAGCAGTTTATATTTACAAAATAACTGAATTGTTCTGTGGAGACCAGATATAGTGAATGCAGAGTCCTGGCTTTAGTAACACTTTAACTATCTCAGCAAGAAGGAAACCATTGGGAAGGGATTCGCATTGTCAACACTGCTGGAATTTCTGCAGTGGTCTTACAGGGTTGCCGTCTCTCTCCAGGATTTGATACTGTTCAAGAGAGGTAAAAAGGACATAATTTATGGAGAGGTTTAGTTTGCAATTAGGATGAATGCTTTTATTTAGCAATGTTGATTTCATTGAGAAATCCTCATCTCAATCATTTTTGCCTGTGGTAACACTTTCATATCAATTTTCCACCATCATTACGCTCCCCTGCTGCAGCCCTGAAAAATCCCCAATACTATGAGGTATTGGGGCACATGCAACCTTCTTCTCTGCCAATGCATGGTGCTTGACTGGCTCATGGTCAGCAATATCTTGATCCCATGAGGAGAAGCGGTTTTAATTGTAGCTTTGCTCCAAACTTTGCGTTTTGGAGCAAAACTGTTTGTATACCTACCCTTGTGCAGCAGCACATTGCTTTTTCTCTGACCTAAGCTGAGGCAAGCCTCCCTTCCTCACCAAATATCTGGGCAAAAATATTATATAGATAAAGGCTACGGAATGTTTACCATCAGATGGAAAGTCAACGAAAGGCTTCTGCAGACAATACAGAAAAGCTAAAATGTTTTTTTCCCACCAGAGGCAACAATGCAAATAAAGTTTCAATATGTTACAATCTACATGAAAAAATTCAATAGGAGATTTCAAATTAAAAAGACATACGAGTCCCCTGAACCAGGTAAGTCTGTTCCATTCTCCTCATAGAAGAAATCCTCTCTATCCAGCATCTCCTGGTACTTCTCTTGATAATCTGAAACAAAAAACAACAGTTGGCACCGTACCCAATTTCTGTATTAACAGTATCAACAGGACAAAGTACTTTACTTAAAGGGTAACTCCACATTCACAGAGGAAGAAAAAGCAAATAAAAAAAAAAAAAATAATAATATAGTGTATACAATTGCTGCACAAGTCATATTGTACTTGAATGTTAATAAAATATTACCTATCCTTTTCAATCTGCAACCAATGGAATTTTCTGTAAAATGCAAGGAAAAATTACTACCTGGAGGAGTTCTGTACACAGTTGGTATAGAAAACGCCCCCCCCCCCCCCCCCCCCCACAAATGTAATTTCCTGCTTGTGCAATTGGCTTACTGATTTTCCCAGAAGTCTGCCTGAAGATACAGGGTAGATTTTTGAGCCCCCTGCAAAAAAAATTTTTTTTTGTGAGATATGCCCAAAGGAAAATCAAAATCTAAAAAGGGATGGAGACCCTGCTGCTTTCCTCATTGGAACCCTACAGGTGCAAAAGCTGATTGATAATTATAAAACCACTTCCATTCTCCTTCACTCCACATGGACACAGGCAAACAAACAGCAGTTTGTTCAGAACAACAAAAGGTAGTAATCTGCAAGTTTGTTACAATCCTTGCAAAGTACATAGATCACCCAGAGAGGAATGTTACTTTCTCAATAAAAGTGGAGTTACTCTTTAATCATAATGTCTATGTAGCAGAATGAAAACAATTCTCACCTGGATCTGCTGCAGTGAAGGGAATGCCTTCGGACGTATAAAATGTGGGCTCATTCTAAAACAAAAGAATTAAAAAAAAAAAAATGCATTAGTGACAAAACCTGTCAAAAAAAATATGGAAGTGTGGCTGTCAGGTTATGTTTTTTTTTCTTACTCCCCTTTACACTCAATAACTGTATCTTGACCACCACTCCTTTTCTTAACTTTCATCTGATTCTTTGGTAACATAGGGAAGTGAAAGGATACACCAGGTCATCCCATTTTCTCTTACCATAAATGCAAACTGGAAAACATTGGATACTACTGACAACTAACAATGAGTTATAGAACTGCAAAACAAGGACAAACAACGCTGTTGAGTTATAATTTCTTTTAAAAGGTGCAGCCTCAGCTCCAGCAATGGATCTTACTTATCCTTAAAGTGGTTGTAAAGGCTGAAGGTTTTTTACCTACATGCATTCTATGCATGAAGGTAAAAATCTTCCGTGTGTAGCAGCTCCCCCAGCCCACTCAAAACTTACCTGAGACTCATCGCTATCCAGCGATCTGAACGACAGCCTAAGATGTCCTGGGTCTCTCCCTCATTGGCTGAGAGAGCAAGCGGGAGTCAATCACAGCCAGTCAGCCAAGAGGAGGAGAGAGAGGGGGCGGAGCCAAGCCACAGCTCCATGTTTTTATGGACACACAGAGAAGCAGGTTCCCCTACAGCAAGCTGCTTGCTGTGGGGGCGGCCGACAGCCAGGAGGAGCCAGGAGAGCCTGTGAGGGACCTGAGAAGAGGAGGATCCAGGCTGCTCTGTGCAAAACCACTGCACACAGCAGTAAGTATAGACATGTTTGTTATTTTATGAAAAAAAAAAAAATTAACCTTCAGAATCGTTTAATTTACTGACGTGGAATAATTATGCATATCTCAGGTGTCAGGGCTTACATTTTAGTGGAGCAATGATAAACAAGACGGCTTGGAGCATGCACCTTGTAAAAACAAAAAACGCATTGAGATGCAAGGAAATACACCAAGAGCACACACACACACATACATACATACACATACACACACACACACACACACATACACACACATACGTATATATACATACAGACACACATACGTATATATATATACATACACACACACACACACACACACACACACACACACACACACACACACACACACACACACACACACACACATACACACACATACACACACACAAACACAAAAACAAAATGAATAGGCTGCAGTGCAAGCTACTTGCTCTGGTGGCACTCGGCAACAGGGAGGGGCCAGGAGTGCTGGTGGGGGACCCAAGGTGGGAGGAGGATCAGAGCTGCTTTGTGCAAAGCCATTGCACAAAGCAGGTAAGTTCATGTTTTTTTTTTAATATCACTTTAATTGGACCAGAAATATTACCATAAAATAATTGGGGTCATTTTCAGGAGTGGATTCACTGAAAGTTGACGCTGTATAAACTCTTCCCCAGTTACTTGACCGAAGTTCCACCAATTTCAAAAGCATTTGTTTCACATCCCTGAAGCAATAACACAAAAAAAGACATAATTTTAATTATTAAAAGAAACACTGTGCTTATGAAAATAAGGTTTCACATGACATCAAAGCCTAAATTTGATACAAACTGCGAAGGGCTAATTGCCATTTTCAACCTGCTACAGTGTGCATCCAGAACTACATTCTTCATTCTCTGAATCACTTCTTCCATGTAAGAGTTCCCTTTCTCTTTCCATGCATCTTCAAGGACTGATCCAGTTAACTGGGAGAAAAAAAAAAAAAAAAGTTCAACATTTTACATTGATTGTTTTAAAAACTTTGACAGGCGGGTGCATAGACATGACCTGGATGCACATGACCATCTTTATCTGAATTTGTACCACCTGGTCGATTTAAAAGGGTAATTTCACTTTTAAAGCAGATTAGGTGCCAATAGAAAAAATTTAAGCTTTGACAGGTAAGAGGTATACATTGTGGTACTGGCACTTCCTACAGGTACTCTTTTTCATTTTCAGCTGTACAGCTCACTTCAGTGGTCAGGCTGACAGAAGACTATTTCTTTAGCATGGGGTACAATACTAACCACTTGCCCTCCAGAGGATTTACCCCCCTTTCTGACCAGGCCATTTTTTTTCGTTACGGTGCTATGTTACTTTAACGGACGATTGCGCGGTCATGCAATACTGCACCCAAATTAAATGTACGTCCTTTTTTTCCACGAATAGAGCTTTCTTTCGGTGGTATTTGATCGCCTGTGCGGTTTTTATTTTTTGTGCTATATAAAAAACAAAAAATAGACTGGCAAATTTTAAGGGAAGGGAAAAAAAAAAAAAAAAGACACAAATTTTTTTTGACTTTTTGCTATTAAACATGTCCAGTAAAAAAAATTTTAAAATCAAATTTCATCATAAATGTAGGCCAAAATGTATTCTGCTACATATCTTTGCTAAAAAAAAAAAAAATACCAATACAGCAAGTCCCCGACTTACGAACATTCGAGTTGCGAATTTTCACAGATACAAACAGACCTCGCATTACGAACATTTGTAGATGCGAACAAACGTCGGAAGTAGCTCACGTGTCTGCCGGACATTGTCACAGCTACACTGCTGTGTACTTACTGTACAGTGCGATAGTGTACTGTACAGAGCCCAGGATGTCCGGAAGCAAGAGGAAAAGCAGTGGTGATGTGGAGGGGACTACTAAGAAGCACAAAGCAATAACCATGGAAACAAAAGTGAAAATAATTGAGAAACTGGACCGAGGCGAAAAGATGGTAGACATTGCTCGTTGTTATAACATGAATCGTTCAACCATTGGCACAAATCTAAAGAACAAGGCCAAGATCATGGAACATGTAAAGTCTGCTGTGTCCTATGAAGTTCCTCTCTTAGTTTACCATTCAGAGAACTCCAAGGCACTCAAAAATATATCCAAGGACGCTCTACCTGTTGTGTGGAAGAGTAACTCCAAAGCCTGGGTTACACAGGCCATTATCCAGGACTGGGTTTTCCACCACTTTATCCCAGAGATAGAGAAATATTGTTTGGAGAAAAACATTCCATTCAACATTCTTTTGCTGCTTGACAATGCACCAGGTCACCCCCAATTCATGGATGACTTTCATCCCAACATCAAAGCAGTGCATCTGCCACCGAATACTACGGTGCTCATCCAATCTATGGACCAAGGAGTTATTGCGACTTTTAAGAAATATTATTTATGCCACACTTTTCATCAGGCAGTGAAGGCTATTGATGAAACGAGAACAACCTTGTGACAATTTTGGAAAGACTATAACATCTACAAAGCCATAAAAAAAACATCAGCTTTGCTTGGTGTGAGGTTTCGGCTGTCACCATGAATGGGGTTTGGAAGAACCATTGCCTGCACTTTGTTCATGAAGTTCATGGACTTGAGCAGATGGGTAAGGAGTCCAAAGAGGTCTTCAACAACTTAGTGACCCTTAGCACAAAGCTGGAGCTAGATCTGCAAGAGGATGACTTCACTGTACTCCTTGCTGTGCAACATGAGGCGCTTACTAATGAGGACCTGATGGAATTAGAGGCCCAGCGAAAAGATGGAGAGCCAAGAGGAAGATATAACTGAAGAACCAAAGAGATGCACAACACAGGAAATGGAAAGTGGATTTTCTTTGCTTGAAGAGGCACTGTTAGTATTTGAGGCACAGGACCCCAATGTAGAAAGAATACACAAGTTGCAGCAGCCATTCAGAATGCCATCCAGTGCTACAGAGTCATCTATGATGAGAAAAAAAAAAGAGCCACTGCTCAGACATCACTGGATCATTTTTTCCCCAGAGGGTAGACAGAATTGAATCCATCAAAAAACCTGTGTCATCAACATCAGGTGTGAGAGTGAAATTCCATCTTGCCCTCCATCTCCTATTGATGATCCTTCAGCTCCATCAACATCAGGTGTGGGCCAAATTCCATCTTGAATCGGACACAAGGGGGCGCCAATCTCAGTGTAGATGGATCCTGGTTGTGCAGGAAGAGCAGAGACGCAACCATCACTGTTCAGCAATGCAGAGAGTTTTTTTTAAAAGGAACAGGGCCAGGTGACACGTTTGGAAGTACGTCTTCTTGAGACAACTTCTTCAGTGGTCTGAAGAAGAAGCAAGTGCTTCGAAACGCATCACCTGACCCTGTTCCTGCCCTGCCATTGGTCGCCTGCTGAGGTCCTGACTTCCTTGCTGTCCATGCTGGTTTCGGCGCCATTTTTAAAAAACTCTCTGCATTGCTGAACAGTGACCGCTGCATCTCTGCTCATCCTGCACAACCAGGATCCATCTTCACATCACAGTCTTCACAGACTGAGGGCTTACCAAAGGCATTCCTTTACCATGCTACTATACTTCTTATGTTTGTGAGTAGTTTTTAAACCTTGTGTTACCAATACATTTTTAACCCTCTACACTGAGTATGGCGCCCCCTTGTGTCCATATTTTCTACAGAGTTCTGCTTCGCTCTATGGGGATCTGCCTTCACCATCCATCACCTAGGACCCTTTGACTATGGACTTCCCTTTCTCCATTTGTCGTTTCATTGCCACCCCATTTTGAACTCATTACTATTGTACGCTTATTCCCCTATTTGAATTTGTATTTTTCCTGCTGTATCCGTCATTTGTCACTAACCTATCTAGACTCTTCATGTGTGGTCCTCTCCCAGCGCTGTTTTGTTTTTCGTTTATACAAATTCCATCTTGCCCTCCATCTCCTATTGATGATGATCCTTCAGCTCCGTCAACATCAAGTGTGGGCCATATTCCATCTTGCCCTCCATCTCCTATTGTTGATGATCCTTCAACTCCACCATCTACCACCTACCCTCCCTCCTCCAGTTAGTAACTCTCTTCCACTATATGCCAGTTGTGGTACTGTACCACCATTTTAAGATAACTGTAAAAGCAGAATAGTTTATTTACAGTTGTACTGTCCTACCATTTTAAAAAAATTAAAGTAAAAATTGTTTATTTACAGTTTTGTGGGGTTTTTTTATGCTTTACATTGTATAATTGTGTCAACAGTGTATAAGACTGACTTTGTCGGACTTACAAACGAATCCGATTTACAAAACGTTTTCCCGGAACAGAACTCATTCATAAGTCGGGAACATACTGTACATGTAAATCAACTGGTTTACGTGAAAGTTATAGCGTCTGCAAATGGCAGTATACAGTGGGGCAAAAAAGTATTTAGTCAGCCACCAATTGTGCAAGTTCTCCCACTTAAAAAGATGAGAGAGGCCTGTAATTGGCATCATAGGTAGACCTCAACTATGAGAGACAAATTGAGAAAAAAAAATCCAGACAATCACATTGGCTGATTTGGAAAGAATTTATTTGAAAATGATGGTGGAACAGTTCATGTCAATACTTTGTTATATATCCTTTGTTGGCAATGACAGAGGTCAAACGTTTCCTGTAAGACTTCACAAGGTTGGCACACACTGTTGCTGGTATGTTGGCCCATTCCTCCATGCAGATCTCCTCTAGAGCAGTGATGTTCTGGGGCTGTCGCTGGGCAACACGGACTTTCAACTCCCTCCAAAGGTTTTCTATGGGGTTGAGATCTGGAGACTGGCTAGGCCACTCCAGGACCTTGAAATGCTTCTTACGAAGCTACTCCTTCATTGCCCGGGCGGTATGTTTGAGATCATTGTCATGTTGGAAAACCCAGCCACGTTTCATCTTCAATGCCCTTGCTGATGGAAGGAGGTTTGCACTCAAAATCTCATGATACATGGCCCCATTCATTCTGTCCTGTACATGAATCAGTTTGTCCTGGTCCCTTTGCGGAGAAACAGCCCCAAAGCATGATGTTGCCACCCCCCATGCTTCACAGTAGGTATGGTGTTCTTTGGATGCAACTCAGCATTCTCTCTCCTCCAAACACGACGAGTTATGTTTCTACCAAACAGTTCTATTTTGGTTTCATCTGACCATATGACATTCTCCCAATCCTCTTCTGGATCATCCAAATGCTCTCTAGCAAAACTTCAGACGGGCCCGGACATGTACTGGCTTAAGCAGGGGGACACGTCTGGCACTGCAGGATCTGAGTCCCTGGCGGCGTAGTGTGTTACTGATGGTAGCCTTTGTTATGTTGGTCCCAGCTCTCTGCAGGTCATTCACTAGGTCCCCCCCGTGTGGTCCTGGGATTTTTGCTCACCATTCTTGTGATCATTTTGACCCCACGGGGTGAGATCTTGCGTGGAGCCCCAGATCGAGGGAGATTATCAGTGGTCTTGTATGTTTTCCATTTTCTAATTATTGCTCCCACAGTTGATTTGTTCACACCAAGTGCTTGCCTATTGCAGATTCAGTCTTCCCAGCCTGGTGCAGGTCTACAATTTTGTTTCTGGTGTCCTTCGACAGCCTTTGTCTTCACCATAGTGGAGTTTGGAGTGTGACTGTTTGAGGTTGTGGACAGGTGTCTTTTATACTGATAACAAGTTCAAATAGGTGCCATTGATATAGGTAATGAGTGCAGGACAGAGGAGACTCTTAAAGAAGAAGGTACAGGTCTGTGAGAGCCAGAAATCTTGCTTGTTTGTAGGTGACCAAATACTTATTTCCCACCATAATTTGCAAATAAATTCTTTCCAAATCAGCCAATGTGATTGTCTGGATTTTTTTCTCAATTTGTCTCTTATAGTTGAGGTCTACCTATGATGCAAATTACAGGTCTCTCTCATCTTTTTAAGTGGGAGAACTTGCACAATTGGTGGCTGACTAAATACTTGTTTGCCCCACTGTATATACACTAATACCTTGGATTACAAACGCCTCCGTTAATGTAATTTTTCGGTTTATGAATGAAAATCCACTGAAAATAATGCCTTGGTTTACAAATTTTTTTTGCAATACAAAGTGTATGTCAGTGCTGATTTTTAAATACAATTACTGGCTTTTTTTTTCCTTCATTATAGCTCAATGAATTAGCTATCACTTTCCCCGGAGTTACAGGAAACTGTTTCTTTTAAGAAACTAAAAGGAAATATTGTTTTTTTTAACTCAGGGAAATAAACTAAAAGAAAAAACTTTCTCTTTCTCTCTTTCTTTTAGCTGGGGGGAAAGCGACAGCTGAATTTCTGAGCTATAGTGAAAAAAAAAAAAAAAAAAAAAAAAACGGTAATTACATTTAAAAACCGGCACCATAATAGAAAAAACTGTGTGGGGTTCCCCATCCTATCCATACCAAGCCACATGCCCTCAACATGGGGGGGTGCTTTGGGGCATGGGGGCGTTTTGGTTTACAAATTTTTCGCTATACGAAAAGTCCTGCAGAACGAATTAAATTCGTAAACCGAGGTATTACTGTACTGAGATTTTAATTTTTTTTTTTACTAATAATGGTAGCGATCAGCGACTTATAGCGGGACTGAGATGGGAATTCTGACACTGGGCAGTTTTACTGTTAGGGTGTGTGTGTGTAGTGTGTGTGTTTCACTGTAAGCACACTGCTTTGCATGGCTCTTGTTTACTTACAGTTCTCTCCCTCCGGGTAGAACGGTTAAGTAATTTGTACAGATCATCAAGAGGCTTTTTTAAATATTTGCAGGGGTAGCTGCTGGAATAAATCATTGTAAGAGTGCTGTAGGTCACAGTCTACTGACATAGGCAAGCTCCTCAGATATAAATTTTCCATTAGTTTTTTCCCAAAAACACAATTTATAGGTAGGTGAATGTGGGGAGGGGAAACAGAGGGGTGGGGGACAGGTGGAAATCTGTAGTCCAGTAGGGGAGAACTCAAGGATGATAACACTGCCTATGATTTTGTGCATCAGAGGCAGTGTTCTCAGCCAACTATGGGAAGTTTGAAGCTCAAAAGATTTCTGTCAGAACAGAAATTTTCTGTACTTGCAGGAAAAAAAGGACAAAAACATGGGGAAATATTTTTCACCCCAGACATACAGCAAACAAAGTGTTTAACAAGTCCTGTAGACTACGGCATGTGGCAATCACTGTGTTTTCTCTTATTACAAGTTCTAGAGTATGAATATGCAAGTTTCAGGCTGTGCATTCATTTGGACTACTAAAGGATACTAGTATCATTGATAAAAGATTACTGCATGTTAACAAAATCTGTCGAGAGAATGCAGCTTTGGGCTGATGATTTTACCTTCAGCAGTTTCACGGCACAAATTACATTATCATCTACTGGATTGGAGAATAAGGCATCCAACAGCTCCTTGAGGCCACTTTGCAGGATCTGTGCTCTAGTCACCTGACCCTTCGCCCCTTTTATCTAAAAAAAAACAAAACAAAGCCAGACAGGTTGTAGAGCCAAATTAAAAGTGCACTGATTTCAACCCTCCAAATTCTCCCCTCATATGCTGGAATCAGGTGCTGGCTTGGAATCCATGCTTCCCCCACTCCAAAGAAAAGTCTCACATCAATGATGTCACAGGCAAAATTTTAACAACCGACAAGCTTTAGCACATGATTCCACCACCAGGACCACCCCCTCAGACATGAGCTTGATCATAAAGGATCCTCTATGATAAAAAGCCTTACTCAAGGTTTGATTTAACTTAAATAGTTTGTTTGGACCATGCTGGTCCAAACAAACAATTTCCTTCACCAATACATGCAACCGCTGGGAGTACAGTATACACTGTATGTAGCAACATTACATACAGTATATAGCACTGTGTTCTGGCAGCAGTACCGGGCCTTCCTCTGCTCAACCTGACTCAATTTTGTTCTGGGAAAGGAAAGTCTCTGTATCGCTGAAAGAACTCACAGAGCTGCATACTGTATGTGCTCATGCATACAACGGCTACAAACAGTTTTTACAGCACTCCCAGTGTGTATACATATAATAGTGAAGGAAATGGTTGGTTTGGGACAGCTTGGTCCAAACAAACGATTTAAAAGTTAAATCAAACCTGAAGTTTAGCTTTATGCCCATACGGTGAAACATGTCAGAGAAGACATCATCTTTCCTTTTTACAGGATCTTTCCTTTTTATTCAGGCACTTCATGTTACCACTTCTGATAAGCAAATCTTTAACAATCTTACAAACATTTATTAGCTTCCAAGTCCTCAAGTGTAAGGCTACTTTCACACTGAGGAGTTTTTGAAGCATTTTGCATTAAAAAAAGTGCCTGAAAAGCTCAAGAAAAACGCTTCCCTATGTATGTGAATGTGTATCTTGTAAAGCGCTGAGCAAACTTTTGGCGTATAAATCCTGTATAATAATAATATCTATGTTTTCACACTGAGGCATTGCGCTTGCGGTGTAAAAACTCCTCTTTGCAGCATCTTTGGGGCATGTTTGGGGAGTTAAAAAAAAAAAAAAAACGCCTCAAAAATGCATCTTCCCATTGAAATCAATGGAAAACGCCTGAAAAGTGCCTCTGAGAAGCATTTTTGGTGCAGTTTTTAAGTCGTGTGTCCTTTAAAAACACTCAAAGTGTGGCAAAAAAAAACGCCTATGCTGTGTGAAAGTAGCCTAAAATCCCTGGTGCTTTCCTGCGCCCAGTGAGCCATACGGGCTGCATATAGCTGCCAATACAAATGCATGGATTTTGTACTCGTCTAAACACCAATAGCTTCCCCGTGGTGTTTACCTGCACATGTGTGTATTTCCGCACACCACATTTGCATATGAGGAAATACACCATACACGCATGTGCGGATAAATGCCCAAGCAGAAGCAATCAATGTTTACCAGAGTATGGCTGCCAATACAGGTGAATGTTTTTGTTTTTGCCATCTTTCCCCAAGAGCAGGCCGCTTGAAAACTTGTAAACGAATAAACCTGTGTCCCCTGACATGTACCGTGGCTACGGGAAACAGTAGTGATGTAGGGGGCAGAGGACAGAACTGCAGCACATATTGGAGAACACAGACATTTGATACAGGCAGAAGAGTATGGGATGTTAGGATTCTACTGGCAGTTTTCCAACAGCATGAAAATTTAAAGACTGGACAATGGGACACATAGGGCCTGTTCACACTACAAACTGCATGTGAAATGCACAGGAACGCTGTGTGGTTCCTGTGCGATGCACTAGTATTCGGTGCAGTGTGATTTCAGCCCATTCAACTTAAATAGGCTGAAATCACACTCCAACAAAAGTAGAGCATGGACTATGTTTGGAAACACACTGCAACTGGATCACATGGTACTTCTGTACAGGGCTCGACAAATCCCAGGAGCCAGGTCGCCATGCCAACTAGAAATTGCATCTTGATGCCTGGGGTTTGTCAGCCGTCTGCTGGCAGGTACTGGGACGCCACTCTGAAGGAAATCCCTGTGCCTTAATCTCCTAGCTGTTCTCCCTCTTCAGCCAATCACAGCTCAGGGATAACACACAGGGTGGCAGGCTCCACCCCTCCATCCAATCCCTGGCCGGCACCATGTGTGAAGTGTTCCAGTCCTGCCCTCTCTCTGGCAGATAGTGATGGCAGCTCCGGGGATGTGTTCCGGGGCACTGGCGGCTCTGCTGGAACTCTGCTGGGGGAGGGGAGACCATTGTATGAGTACATGTGTCTGGCAAGGGGCCTCACTGATATATATGGGGCCCCTGTATTATACCTATGGGGGGGGCCCACACTGTTTCTCTTTGCTCTGATCATATGTCTAGGAAGGGGCCACATTGAGCATGTGCGGATCATATGTATCGTGTGATATGGGGGGGGGGGGGGGGGGGGGGGGGGGGGGGGGGGGGGGGGGGGGGGGAACCTGTGCTGTGTGATATGGGGGGGGGGCTGTATTGTATGATATGGGGGCAGTACTGCAGGGCTTGACAAATCTCAGATTGCCAAGGTGACTATAAATTGCGAACTGACACCTGGGCTTTTGTCAGCCATCGTGCACCGGGATGCCGCTTTACTGATCCAGGAATTGGAAATCTCCTATCGGTAACTCTCAGTGTACAGAAAAGAGGCATTCTAATTGGTCATCACGCGGACAGCGCTGACCAATCAGAATCTGTCTAGCCTGTCCTCTCAGTGCTTGGAAGAGAAAAATCCACAGAGATTTCAAATCCCCGAACTGGTGAATTTGTGTCCTGGTATCTCTTTCCTTACGTTCGCCCTTTCAAAAAATTGGCTCCCAACTTTTTTAGCTGGCTCCTAGATTCAAAGCAAATTTGTCAAGCCCTGCTTTGTATGCGATCCAGTGCAGGCAAACACACTGCATTTGCAACTTGCATTTGGGGTGTCATTAACTTATTGACACCCACTACAGATCGCACATAGAGTGCGTTTTGAACGTGGTGTGGGAAACGCACATGGAACGTGGATTTCCAGCACCGCGTTCTGGTGTGAACCGGGCCATAATATTGTCTTTTGCAGGGAATTTGTATTTTTTTTAAAGGGCAATAGAGTTGCTTTAAATGTCAGAACTTAACTTTGAATTATTTCTACAGTACTTTCAATAATATTTAAAAAAAAATTGTTTTCTGAAACTTGGAGGTGGCATCAGGTAGATACCCTACATGTCAAGCCCAAAACATGGGCTTGCGCCCATGAAATGGCAAAAAAAAAAAAAAAACCTCTATACACAAAACTGTCCATAAGTGATGTTTAAAAGCTCCTACAAGTCATTAGAGCTCCAACTGTGGAGTACATGGTGATATATACCACATGTAGCGCAATAGCCATTGCCCTGACACACGTATTTATGGGTTTGCACATGGTGGCTTAAAGTGGAAGGGAAGTTAACCCTAGAAAAGCTTAAATCTACTCCATTCTAAGCCTATTCTATCTACTCTGTAAAAGGAAAGATGCCTCTACTAACCTATTCTTAAATTGCTCTGGTCCGGTTACATGATCTCTCCAGTGGAGAGAGGAAATTGTCGACAAATGGCTGCATAGGCTATCTATGTGGAATCCGTTGTGTTGGCGGTCCCTCTTCTACACTGAAGCCGGCGCTGAGACCCGATCATGTGACCAGACTGAAGTGACTTCAGAACAGATATGTATAGACACCAATCCTTTTACTGAGAAGATAGAAGTACAGAATGAGGGTGGGAGCAGATTTAAACTTAGTTAGGGTTTGACTTACCTTCCATGTTAAACATTTTTTTTTTTTTGACACTTTAAATGTTTAAAACTTTTTTTTTTTATAACAACTTTATTGCTATCACATAGGGGAAAATAGTCCCTTATGTGATAGCAAACACCTTGTGACAGATTAGTTTATTGGGAGATCAGGGGTCTATTAGATCCCTGATGTCTCTCCTGCACTCCACTCAGCTAATTTTTTCCTTAGTCAGTGCTGCTGGGGAATGACAGTTCTGAACCAGGAAGGGATATAAAACACGTAGTGGATGTTTGCTGAGATCCCTGCACCCTAACAAGGGACACCCCGCCATGTGTGAACGTTCGCTATTTATGAATGAACTACCAGCGATGTTGTCCCAATGCCATGTTTAAACACAGCTCATTCATAAAACTGACAGCACTGCAGCCACCCATCCATCATCCATTGGCCGGACTGTATTCGTAAAAGCAACCCTTAACAGCACTGCTGGCTGCGAGTTCTTTTTTTGGGGAATAGCAACTTAGGCGTCTGAGACAGCCCTTGCTGCCAATCACAAATTTGTCACCTTCCTGGCAGTTGCATCTGACTAGGGAATGGTGGGGGGGGGGGGGGGGGGGGGGGGAGAGCCTAGCCAACCACCCTGTTAAGGAACGAAGGGATGGATTTTAACAGGACCACATGCCAACATGGTTTATTAAGGCAGTAAGCAGACAGGTTATGGTATGGTGGAATGAAAAAGCCCTCCCTTAGGCCCATATGAAACACAGAGGAACTAAAAGTATTCTTAAAGAACAATTTATCTACATGTCCCATTAACATAAAAAAATATCGGCGTTTGTTTATCATTGAGGATAGTATCTGGAGCCATGCAAACAATTCCTTTTTGCCCTGGACCATTAGTGAACTGAACTGGAGGGTCACAGCACAGGTATAGTACAAACTAATCTACCCCCACAAACATAAATGTATTTCTAGAAATTTATGCGGTTTCTGGATAGACCTTTAATGAACTAATAGATCTTGATGAACAAAACTCAATAAACACAATAGGGGAGACAAGATTTTTTTTTTTGTTCATCATTTGCAACTAACCTCAAGGTTAAGATAAAGTTCACCCAGGAAAAGTACAAAAGCGTGAAATCGCTTTCTTGTAGCTTCATCGCCCTTTGCTGCCTGGTCTCTCTTCTCAAATTCTGTCTGACACCTGAAATGAGATCATAAGAAATGAGAACTTATGTGAAGGAGACTTAGCTCAGTTAAAGCCAAGCTGCTATTTCTCATTTTTAGGTTCAACCAAAAGGTTGTTGTATAACGTACAGGATCATCACAAAATTAGAAGAATGGATAAACAAAAAAAACAAAAAAAAAGTACAATAAATTAAAAAGGTAGAGAAAAAAAATAAGAATAATTGAACAAAAAATACAGATATGAATACTGTATCCCAGGACCAGGGTAATGGTCCTGGGTGAGCAATGTATAATACTCGTCTTACCATAGTTACAGCAAAACGTACTAGATACAATGGCTCTGAGCTAAATGCAGGCTGAGGAACACTGAACCAGTGGAAATGGTGGTAGACCAGCAAATCAATAGTGCAACCAACAACACTGGATAGCATGAGGACTGGAAAAGAAGTAGTGATGAAAACAAATGGATGTGGATCCTGGATGGATGTAAGGGGAAGGGGGGGGGGGAGGGGGTTGGAATGGAAGGATGAAAAACACAATGGGGGGGGGGGGGGGGGGGGATCTCATATTTCAGAGGATTCCCTGTATACATTCCAAGAGAGCCATGTCTAGTAGATTTTCTGTGAGCTGGCAGCAGCTCGCCTAGCATAAAAATACATTGCTGCTGCCTGTCTCCCGGGTTCTGGATGCACGTACCCTCTGCTGTGACTGGACAAAACATGTGTTTGTCAGCAGGTTTCAGCCAATGATTATAGCTGAAACCTGCTGATTGGCTGTGTCCAATCACAGAGTCCTGTGTTTACAAACACAGCACAGAAATCTGGCTGTTTCTGCAGAGAGAGAAAAAAAAAACCAAAAACAGCCTAATCTGTGAAAGCAGCACATATTACACACATCACACTTGTTAGGCACACAAATAACCCCATTGCCTCTAGATGTTAACCCCTTCCCAGCCAGTGTCATTAACATAGTAACAGCGTACAGTATTATATATGATCAATGTATTTAGATAGACACACATATATACATATATACTGTACATAGTATAGTGAACGCTATAACATGGAAAATGGTGTGGAAATTTTTGAAAAAACTACTTGTCCAGGGACTAATTGGGGCCCCAATCTACTTAAAAAGTAAAAAAAAAAAAATTTAACTAGATCAGTATTTAAATCAGAAGTGATTTTATGAATATCTGAGGTTTTTAAAAACAAAAGAGGCTTTATGGTGACTTAAACGTGTAATATTTTTAACATTGTGCTGTTTATCTCCTCCGGCCCTCCCTGCCTGTCTCCAGCACCGCCCCAGGGGGCTAGTAGAGAGGAGAGAGACCTTGCAGTGTATTGAGCACCGATTGGCTGCTCGTCAGGAAAGGGGAGTGTCAGGGCTTATACTTTATCCCTTTCGCTGCCAGAGCCATTTTGCATTTTTGCACACGTTTAAAAAATCATTTTATATTACATAAAACCCCCAACATTATATATTTTCTGAAAGCAGAGTCCCTAGAGAATAAAATAGTGGTAGTTCCAATTTTTTTATGTCGCATGATATTACCGCAAAATTTCAGTAAAAAATACAAGTAAGTTCATTTTAGGGCACAAAAAAGCAATAAATTGCTTTATTTTTTTGTAAAATTTAAAAGATGAGGGTGCAGCGAGTAAATAGATATCCAACTTGTCAAACTTTAAATTTGTGCGCGCTCGTGAAATAGTGACGAACTTCAGTACCCTATATTTTCTATACGTTGACAGTTTTAAAGCCCCTTATAGGTCATCAGTATAGTGTTACAGAGGAGGTCTGGTACTAAAATTATTGCTCTCATTCTGGGCGAGCGCGGGTGATAAGTAACATCTGTATCACAATCGATGGTTTCATGCGTAGGGCGCCCCAGCGTGTGCTTTTAAGTTTGTAAGTGTGTATATGTGGGAGTGGGGGCCTCGAAAATTTTTTTTTCGGGGGGGGGGGGGTTTGGAGGAGGATGGTAAGTGCTTGGGTGCAACTTTAATTTTTTACAATAAAAAAAAAGCAACTTTATTTCCCCTATGTGATGATTTTTGGTGACATCCAAGATCTAAAAGACCCTGGATGTCTCCCCTCTGCTCCACTGGGTATTGCATTACAATCTCTCAACGGGGACCCGGAAGTGACATCAGAACGTCATTTCCGGGTCAGCACAAGAAGGGGAGTGAACTTGTCCACTCATCTCCCTCCCCTCTAGCCGACGGCGAGCCAGGCCCGCAGATGGGCAAGCGAAGCCCGGGAGACCTCACGCCGAGGGCACGGAGAGGCTGGCACTGTGTGGAAGTAATCAACAGCAGCAAAACAAACAAGTCACAACAGGACTCAATGTGCTAAAAACCTCCAACCGGAACTATAAATTTTTTACCATATAAGCGTGATAAGTGTGATAAGCATGACGATACGCGTTGGCGGTGACGCACTTCCGGTCGGACATCATCTTTATTTACATTGGACACCCATGCAAGTATATCTGATCTGAGGTTTGATTTGTGATGTGATTCATGTGATGAACAAGATGATTTAAAATGTGAGCATATTTTGTTATGTGATACTTTGGTGAATAAATAGTTTTACACTATGCAAGCATTCACTTATATTTTCTGAGGGATCAAGTGGCTGTAGCCACCTTATGTGCCTGAAGAGGAGATCTGCTGCCCTGTGAGCCTGTGCTGGAATCTGTACATGAGGGGAGACCAGTGTGGAGAGCTGTGGAGGATTACCTATTATTAAGGATCCATGTGTTAGTGATCCTGAAGGCCTTTTGACCCTGTGCAGGTCGCAAGAGGGAGGTGAGCGGGCAATTCAGCCATTTTTGGATATCTCTGCACATCTATCAGCACATTTTTTCAAGAATTGCTGTGGACTTTATATATTGTTAGGTGTTTTTCACCTCACAGGACTTTATACATTTATTTATTCATGTTTGTCTGCATGATCAGTCCTTAGTTTAAGCATTGATTGAGATGCACGTGTTTTGGGTTATATGATGGGAAGAATTTATAGTTCCGTTGGAAGGTTTTTAATCACATTGAGTCCTGTTGTGACTTACTTGTTTGTTAAGGAGCACTATTTGATCCCATTGGATTACTGGGGGCACTATTTATGTTATTTGGTCCTTTTAGGACCTCGTATTGACACTTGTCACACATGATTTGTGAGTTTTTTTTTTTGCATTATTTATTATTGTGCATTTATGTTATTTGTGTCACTATTTTTGCACTGTTTCACATATTCATCTATGTGTGAAGGATTTTTATGGTAGTAGCGCTGCATTATGTTTTTTATTTCTATTTTTTGTCTATGGGTATATGACTGTATGTGGCAGCTTTACCTTTGTTAGTAGGTATTAGTTTTTAGGTAGGAGCGCAGGAGATTTGTCATATTTAATCAACAACAGCACTGCAGCCGACTGCTTGCCCACAGCAGGGCTAAAGGTAGAAAGAAACTACCTGCCCGATGCCTGGAACTACATGTCCCAGGCGTCGGGCGATAGGAATCCAACATCCCTGACATACATACTATAGTGGATGCTATAACTTTCACACAAACAAATTAATATACACTTACTGGGATTTTTTTTTTTTTTTTAACCAAAGACTGGTAGCAGAATACATTTTGGCCTAAATTTATAAAAAAATTTTAATTAGATATGTTTCATAAAGTAGAAATTATTTTTTTCTCAAAGTTTTCAATCTTTATTGTTCATATAATAAATAAAAAAAATCCAGTGGCGATCAAATACCACCAAAAGAAAGCTCTATTTGTGTGAAAAAAAGATAAAAATTTAATTTGGGTACAGTGTCGCATGACTGAGCAATTGCCAGTTAAAGCAGCACAGTGTTGAATAGCAAAAAATGTCAAGGTCAAGTGGTTAAAATGGGCCTACATTCCATAGATAGATCAACAATTCTAGCCCTTTACTGCTTTGATGAATATATAGTCCAGTGAAGGGCAACAAAATAAATAAGGGGGGTGGTTGACCCCAGCTATAAGGATCAATTACATAGATTAGTTATTCACTCTGGAGGAGAAGAGCTTAAAGTATAACTAAAGAGAACATTTTTGTTTTAGTTTTGAATAGAGTGGAGAAGGATTAGAGCGCCTGTCAGTTATTACAGCTGGCTTTGTCCTTGTTAGGGAGAGTCACCCTCTCCATTTGTCATGATTACCATTATCATTGAAAGTTAAAGTAAAAAAAACCCAAAATTTTGGGTTGTCACCAGAAAAGTAATGGAGGGGAAATCTTCCAATGGGGACACTAGTTATGGAAACCTGGGGGTCCCCAAGGAATTCCCTTAATTTGCAGGGATTATTTTTCCCATTGCAGAAACTTCCCTTCACTTCCTGTCCCCATAGCCAAACAGGAAGTGAAGGAAATTCTCTCTCTACAAACCCCAAAGCATTCTAAATTTAAACGCCCTTTTTTCTCCTTTTTTTAGAAAGTGATCACATACCCTCTGTTCTCCGCTGCATAAGGAGCTAAGAGAGCTGGGGGAGGAGAAACGGCAGTTCATCGGCCTCATGCTCCCTTATTCCACCACTTGTGAACAAGACCCTGGGAAGTGTGAACCCCTTCACACTGTCTTATCAGAGAAAGCAATCCACTTCCCTCCACGGGGAATCTCCAATTTAGAGACATGAATTCAGCAAACACATGACCTGTTTTGCAATTTATTGTGGATTTTATTTTTTACCAATATTTATACCCATACTGAGCACTTTCCACTTTCAGTTAGAGTGTGCAATGTTATTGTGTATTATGTTTACTGTGCATATATTGTATTTTGGCACGATCTACTCAGCAAACGCATGACCTGTTTTGCATTTTCAGCACTTGGCACTTATATATTTTTTGGGGGGATTATTTAGCACTAGTTATCTATACCTTTCAATACAGTGTGGTCACTTTATATGTATTTTTATATCATTGCACCTACTTAGTTTTTCATGTGAAGCACTTCACCAATATTGTTTTTTTTTTATGAATTCATTTACTTCACCTCTTGAGCAGCAACTGTCTGAAGTTCCAGTTCTGTGGGTTTATCACCAGGTTACTAGACAGATGATTGCACAGACGTGCTCCTGTGTATGAGAAGTTTGGTACCGATGTTGCCTTAAAAACAATTTCAAGAGCATAGTTTTAGACAAAAGAAGACATGCTCATCTTATTGGTTTACTTTATTTAGAACCCTGCATGCAAAGATGACAAAAACAGTTCACACATTGGAAAAATGTAATCAATACCGATATGTCCTGCACTCTTCACACTTCTCTACCCACTATTTTTGGCTGCAATAGTGAATGAATGAACTACAAGTCCCGACAGCTTAGCGGCTGTCAGCTTGTAGTTCTCAATGAACAACCATGGCACTGTGGAGCACCGTGAAAGTTCATTGAATCTTCCAATCAGTATTTCTGCTTGCCTGTACTGGAGGTATGGGCAAGCAGATATTCTACACAGTCAATGAACAACCACGGTACTCTACAGCACCATGGGTGTTCATTGAGAACTACAAGCTGACAGCCGCTAAAGCTGTCGGGACTTGTAGTACTTTTTAGAGCAGCCACAAGCAAGATGACTGGAGCTCATCCATACGCGACTCAAAACACATGCTCAACCTGGCTACATTCACAACCCATTTATACTTCCAATGCTATGGACCAGCCTTTCACAACCTTACTACCCTGGAGGAGGAACCCTTAAACATGTTTAAGGCCCTGAAGAAAAACCCGATAAAAAAATAACACTAACACGTAGAAAGTTTTAAACATAGGAATAAATAGGCATACCTAGTATATTTGACACCGTTCGGTTTTTACAGCATAAGTGCACCCTTGCACTGGTGGCCTGTGCAAGCTGGAGATCAATTCATCATTGCTCATGTCTCAAGGAACCCCCAGAGACCTCAGGAGAAACCCTGCTTGAAATAGGCTGCTATAGATGTCCTTTTGCCCCTTACTTTACAGCCCGATAAGTACCTGCTGATAGACAAGTTCCACAAGTTCCTGTAAGGATTCTTCTGTGGTAATGCAGTTGTTTAGCACATCTGTAAACTGGTAGACTTCGGCCTCAAAACTCCCAGGCTGTTGAGTTAAATGGTTCAGTAGGTCTTGAACATATTCTGACAAGCTCATCTCATGGACTGGATATGCTCCATTTTCTTCTACAACATTCTAAGACATGCAGTACAACAGGTTAACAGTGTCAGACTCATTACACAAATAAAACATTTAAAAAACAAGGCTTACAAACAAGGCTTGCTTCAGGCACCACATCCTGAATGGTATATAAGTAACAGGACAGAAAATATGGATTTTTAAGGTGCCAAGCCAAAGTCAGACCATGAATACCAAATTTTATTCACATGAATATAATTATCATTAAAATCAGCAAAAATCACCCCACTTTAAAATCACATTTTATTGCTTTGTAACCTGAAATGAAGACAGACACAGTTTGAGTTTTATCCAGCTTTCCTCAGTGCAACTTATAACATCCAAGTGAAAGTTATACCACGTCAGAATTTTTTTTTTTTTAAAAATTCAAAAAACAGAACCACTCAGTTGGAAAAAGGACCACCCCCTTGTGTTCTGTTTAACCACATTTTGCTTTAATTCCAGCCTTTAGTCTGTTGGGATATGTCTCTACTAGCTTTGCACATCTAGACTTTGCAATATTTGCCCACTCTTCTTGGCAGAACTGCTCAAGTTCAGATAAATTTGATGGTGGCCATTTGTGGGCTGCAGTCCTAGTCATTCTACAAATTTTCAATGGGGTTTAAGTCTGGGCTCTGACTAGGACATGCAAGGACACTCATCTTTTTCTCCTTCAACCATAGTGCTCATTTTTGCTGTGTGCTTTGGGTCATTGTCGTGTTGGAAGATAAACCTTCTTCCCAGTGACAACTTTCTGGCAGAGGGCAGCAGATTTTCCTCAAGAATTTGACGGTAATTTGCCTCACCCATTTTCCTTCTATCCTGACAAGTGCTCCAGGTTATTACCGTCTCCATGCTTTACTGTAGGAATGGTGTCATTTGGATGGTGAGCTGGATTGCATTTCCTGCAGACATATTGTATAGTTTATTGTTGAGGCAAAATAATTCAACTTTAGTCTCATCTGACCAGAACACCTTTTCCTATGTGTCCTCAAAATCTTCAAGGTGTGCTTTGATCAAAGCTCAGTCATGACTGCATGTGGCCTTTCTTGGAGGAGTGGCTTTTTTCTTGCAAAACCTCTCATACAAGCCACATTTGTTAAGAATTTCTGCTATTGTTGTCACATGCACACAATGACCACTCTTTGTCAAATTCTTGCAACTGCTTCAAAGTTGCTGTAGGCCTCTTGGTAGCCTTTCTGACCAGCTTCCTCCTGTCTCTTTTCTCCTAATCCAGGGAGGGTCTGTGTTGTACCAAATACCTTCCACTTCTTAATAATAGACTTCACTCTAGTTGCATAACCGGGGACTGAAATGCTCCAGGAGAGCTCTTTTCATGCTGAGCTAATCGAAATGACCACAGCTGATCACAGTTGAAAGTCAAATGGCTTTATGTGCCATTGAGAAAGTGACTAACTACTCCTGAAGTCATTTTTAGGTGGGGATGGTCATATTTCCAACTCCAAGATTCTATTTTTTATATTGTTTTTTCTGGCATGTTTGGATGTCATAAGCTGCACTGAGTAAATACAGATAGATAAAACAAAACTGTGTCGGTCTGCATTTCAGGCTGCAAAGCAACAGAATGTGATTTTTTTTTCAAAAGCTGGGCAATCCTTTTCTATACCCACTGTAAGCTAAAACATTGTCCTGACATCTCCAGGACAATGCTGTCGGTTTTTTGTTTTGGAGTGTGTGGACCCTTGACATTATATATATATATATATATATATTTAATAATGAATTTTAAATGCACAAAAACAAAATAGAATACGCAATTGTTTGGTAAAATATAAAAGATGATGTTAAGCCAAGTAAATAGACACCAAATCTGTCAGACTTCAAAATTGCGCACACCTGTACAACAGTGACAAATTACGTACATTTTATTATCCATAGGCAACGCTTTTAAAAGTCTTTAAAGGTTACCACTTTAGATTTACACAGGAGGTCTGGTGCTACAATTATTGCTCTTGATCTGATGTTCGTGGTCATAACTCACATTTGTGGTGCGATTGCTGCTTATGTACCGATGCAGGACCAACATGTGCATTCGCCTTTGGAGACAGGGGTGCGTTAAGATTTTTTTTTTTTTTATTTACGCTGTCCTTTTACTTTTTTTAAAAAAATCACTTTTAATGTTATCACAATCAATGCAAACATCCCTTGAAATAGCAATAGCAGTGACAGGTTCCCTTTACTGAGATTACAGTTTTAGACCCCAGATCTATCCTCTGCCTGGACAAGCTTCAGATCATACAAAGAACAGCATGGCAACTTTGCTCTGAATTTAGCTGAAGTGCAGCAGTTCTTCCAAGCCATCACAGGAAGCTGCATTAGGTGAACCTCATTGGAAAAACTGAACAGGTATTTGTGGGACTTTGCAGAAAAGCTTAGAAAAACTAAGTGCAGATGCTCATCTAAATAAATGCTGTGCAACATTTAATTTATTTTTTAATAGGAGGCAATATCTCTACTTTAAGTTTTGGAGGAAGAGAAAACACCTCTGTCAAGTTTCTTGCTCTCCCTGAGCCCACTTGGGAGATAACTCACTTCCTGGCCCTCTGATGGCAGAATGAGAGGAACTGGTGTCACGGCTCTACTAGAGTGATTTCCAGCTTCCACAGCGGCCCATCAAGTAGGAGATATGCATACTTACATTGTGCCAAGCTGGACCAATGCAAGTATGCAATAATATCATTCCGGAGTTCAGCTTTAAAAAGGGAGACTCTGCCAATCAGAAAATCCACATTGTAAGTGTCATACTCACATTGCACTCTACAGAGTATCCAGCAGGGTAAAACTCAGCAGCATTCACAGACAGGGTGGAGATGACTGTCCCTGATTCAGGAGGCTGGGTTTTGGATACTGCCATTGTCTGGGTAAATAATGGAGTCTTTTTCTGACTTATTTGATCTACAGAGAAAAGATAAAAAATAAATAAATGACATGACATGTAATACAATTTACATATTCAAAGTGAAAGTAAAGGTTCAAGGTTATTTACCTTCATGCATTCTTTGCATTAAGGTAATACTTACCTGAGCCCAATTGCAATCCAGCAATGTGCTTGAGAGCCTCCGCTCTCCAGGGACTCTACATCCTCATTTGCTGAGACAGCAGTGGCAGCTATTGGCTCCCGTTGCTGTCAATCACAGCCAGTGAGCCAATGAGGAGAGAGGAGGCAGGGCCGAACCGCAGCTCTGTGTTGCTGCTCTTTGGGCACTTGGCAGGAGGGAGGGGCCAGGACACTGGCGGGGGACCCGAGAAGAGAAGGATCAGGGTTGCTCCTTGCAAAACCACTGCACAGAGCAGGTAAGTATGATATGTTTGTTATTTTTAAACAAAAACAAATCTGCTTTTAACCACGTTCTGGAAGATTTTGCCCAGGCCATTTTTTTTTTGCTATTCTGCTGTGCTACTTTAACTGGCGATTGCACAGTCATGCAACATTGTACCCAAACAAAATTTATATCTTTTTTTTTTATACTACTAATGGTGACGATCAGCAACTTATAACAGGGCTGCGATACTGCAGTGGGCAATCTGACACTGAGGGGGGAACTGACTAACTGGCACTGACATCTCCAGTGACATTAATACAGGGCTAATACTATATACTGTCCTAATGAAACTGGCTGCGAAAAGGGTTAACATCTAGAGCAATTAAGGGGTTAATAACACTCACTGGCCACTTTATTAGGTACACTTGTTCAATTGCTTGGTAACACAAATTGCTAATCAACCAATCACATGGCAGCAACTCAATGCATTTAGGCATCTAGACGTGGTGAAGACAACTTGCTGAAGTTCAAACCAATCATCAGAATGGGCAAGAAAGGAGATTTAAGTGACTTTGAAAGTGGCATGGTTGTTGGTGCCAGACGAGCATTTCAAAATGACTTGTTGATGTCAGAGGAGAACGGACAGACTGGTTCGAGATGATAGAAAGGCAACAGTAACTCAAATAACCACTCATTACAATGAAGGTATGCAGAATAACATGTCTGAACGCACAACATGTGGAACCTTGAAGCAGATGGGCTACAGCAGCAGGAAACCACAGCGGATGCCACTCCTGTCAGCTAAGAAAAGGAAACGAAGGCTACAATTTGCACAGGCCCACAAAATTGGACAATAGAAGACTGGAAAATATTGTCTGGTCTGAGGAGTCTTGATTTCAGCTGCAACATTCAGATGGTAGGGTCAGAATTTGGCATAAACATGAAAGCATGGATCCATCCTGCCTTGTATCAACGGTCCAGGCTGGTGGTGTCATGGTGTTGGGGATATTTTCTTGGCACACGTTGGGCCCCTTAGTACTAATTAAGCATCATTTAAATGCCACGGCCTACCTGAGTATTGTTGCTGACCATGTCCATTCCTTTAGGACTACAGTGTCCCCATCTTCTGATGGCTGCTTCCAGCAGGATAATGCACCATGTCACAAAGCTCAAGTCATCCCAAACTTTTTTCTTGAAATTGACAATGAGTTCACTGTACTCCAATGGCCTCCAGTCACCAGATCTCAATCCAATAGAGCACCTTTGGAATGTGGTGGAACGCATCATGGATGTGCAGCCGAGAAATCTGCAACAACTGCGTGATGCTATCATGTCAATATGGACCAAAATCTTTGAGGAATGTTTCCAACACCTTGTTGAACATATGCCACAGAGTTAAGGCAGTTCTGAAGGCAAAAGGGGATCCAACCCAGTACTAGCAAGGAGTACCTAATAATGTGCCTGGTGAGTATGTGCCTAACTATGTGTACAGCGTGTTACTTTTACTAACCAGGGTGGATAAAAACCAATGATTACAAAAAAAAAAAAAAAAAAAAAAAAAAAATCTGATTTTTTTTATTTAAATCGGATTTTTTTGATTTAACTTGGATTTTTTTGAATAAAATGCTTTTTGAGGAAAATATATTACCATCCAAAGGTTATTCCATCATGAAATAAAGATTCGTTTTTTAATTATGTAGAATAAGGCTGTATATGTTTAATTTTTTTGGTAAATAAATTCCATGAATCCATTCACAATGTCATGCTCTTCCAGAGGTTTTTGTAAGATTATTGGGCAGTTTCTCTCCCTACAAGATATTATCACAGATGCTTTGTTTACTTTTGCAGTTCTCAAAACTGAATTTGACTCAGCGGAGATCACATGCCTCTTCTTCACAGCAAAAATGTTATAACATGAACAGAGTTAAGAAAAAGACCTTCATCCTAACTTCTACAAACCTATGAATACAGAATCAACCCCTTCAGTGCTAAGTTTCAAGAAGTTCAGTGAATAGAATAGAAACAATATTTTTCTGATTGTTTGGAGTGGAATAGATCTGCACAAGAAGAAAGTGAAACTAAGTGTGAGGAGGAAGGGGCTGACAGTCTAAGTTTCTTAAAATATATATATTTTGTTTAGCCAAATTAGTTAAACATGGATGTTTTTATGCAAATAACATATGCTGGAATGTTATTGTTTCAGTTGAATAAATCTATTTAAATTGTTATTATTAAGGTAATGATTATTTTTCTCCTTCCTAAGTACAACAGAAACATTGTCCAAATATGAATGATTAACCTATTAAACTGGGGATAAAAAAACTAATATGAAAAGTTGTTATTCTAAAAATCTTCATCTACTTGCATATTAAAAGTTATACCAGCAAGAATTAGTCTTTATGTAGAAAACTAGGATTTAAATCAAGCCTTACTGACAAGTGATTTAAATCAGTTTGATTTAAATCAAATCCACCCTGTTACTAAGGCTACGTTCAACTAGCCTTGTGTGCAGGCGGCAGAGAGGCTGAGTTTGGAAGCGCGCTTCCCAAACGCCTCTGCCAATTCTGACATTACAGCACATGGTGCTGTTCTAACGGGAGCGTTTGCGTCGCGGCAAAACGGACGCTCTGGACGAGTCAGGAGGCTTTGAAGCCTCCTATTCTCGTCTATGGTTCCGCAAACGCCCGGCCGGCGTTTGCGGTGCGGTTGCGACGCGGTTGCGGGGCGTTTGCGGAGCGGTAACACCACTCAAACTGCATTATAGGCGTTTGTGGGGCGTTATTAACGCTCGGCAAACGCCTAGCAACCGCCGCTAAACCGTGCATGCGGCGTTTGCGGAGCGTTTGCCGAGCGTTAAAAAACGCTGACCAACGCTTGCCAAACGCTATAGGGGCGTTTGGCAAGCGTTGGCAAAACAGCCTAGTGTGAAAGCCCTTACTGATCTCTGAGTTTGCATGCGAAATTGACAGATCGCTCCCTTGGTTCAGAGCTCCTTGTTGCTTATCATTGGGCAGGACTTGCCGACAGGCTCCCGCTATGTGCGTGCCCTAAACCCAGAAGCAAGCGGCGACGTACCAGTACATCGCGTTGCCTATAGTACAGTGCGGGGTGCGGTCAGCTAGTAGTTATATCATTAGAAGTGAGGAATCTTTTATTTCCAAGTCAGATAGTATATGGACAGTTTTACATCTGCAGACAATTTCTCATATAAATGATAGTAAATATTTCCCCAATATGGGCTGTTTTACAAGGCAAAGTCTCACATATACTTTAACTAAAAAAAAAAAATGTCAACAGCTACAAATACTTTAAACTTACAAGCCCAGGGATGTGGTGCGGTCCCCACCTACTGGTCTTTGGGTCTCCAGCACTGCCATCTTGGATGTGGGAAGCCAGCTGCGACTCCCTGGTGTTTCACAGCCAGCTCCCCATTACACACATGATGCTCTGCGCTTCCTGCATGGTTCCGCAACCTCCTAAACCTGTGATGTGTCCCACTAGGTTGAGGTTTAGCAGAACTTCACGTTAAAGTGTTACTAAACCCAGGACACTGCAGTACACAGAACATGGAAATGCAATAATTTTAGTAAATATAAACTGCTAAATACCTTTTCTCATCAGCAGTATACAGCTGCCTTGTGACTTCTATCAGTTTCCAGCAGAACACTGGTTAAAGCTTGTAGGAGGAGTGCTAATTGGCTCAGGGCTTATCACATGCACCCCCCCCAAAAAAAAAACCTCTCTAGCAATACGCACCAAACTGAGCATGTGCAGAGTGCCTTCTAGGGCTCTGTACTATCAGCAGATGGATTGGGGACTGTGGAATAAGGGAAGGATCGGAGAAGACAGAATCAAATAACTCTTTTACACAATGCAGAGGATTAACCCCTTAGGTTCCACAGTGAGTATAACAAGCATGCTTTACTGCAGATACAGACTGATGTTACTGTTGTGGGTTTAGTAACACTAAGCGAGTTCCGCTTTAAACGTAGTCAATTGTAGACAACCAAGAAGTGCAGGTGGAATATGAAACCACTGAAGAGTTTTTCTCTTGGGGTAGATTTTGAGCCTCTGAAGCGTCATCTGTGTTCGGATTGGGTTTCAGAGGTTACAGACAAGCAGTGAGACCTCCTCCCTGCCTGACGTAACCCCCCCATTTTTTTTTTTTTTTTTTGTGCACTGCATGCAGCTGCGGGGTGTTTGCGGAGCTTCTCTATTTGCTTGACTGTGTAGTGTTCACTTCATGTTGTGTGTACTTTGCCACGGGCACAAAGTGATGCATTGCTAATTGTGACTGTGGCATGTAGAGACCCCTGTCCGCTGTCTACTGCAGCTTAAGGGAGGCAGTTGCAAAGACCACACATTTCTACTGCCCCAACCGCAAGTCTACTCAAAGCCCTAGTGCAACACAAATAAAATGTTAACAACTGTAGGGCGATGGAGCTATCCAGCCTTATGTATATCCAGCAATAGAGGCAGGCTGTAATGCAAGCTTCTTTCAGGAGTTAATGGTAGTAAAAACTTGGTATGAAAAGGTCTGGATGAGCAGGCAAAAGAAAAAAAAAAAAAGTTTAAATTTACTTTGTCCAGA